CTCAAACCACTAAGCTATCCCAAGTGCTTGCTGCATCATAACCTGTATTTGGACACTGGAGACTCTAATTTCAGTCTGCAAGTGAAAACTTTAACCATCCTAACAAGTGAACAGAGAAGTGATGAGAACTTTAAGGCTCTCGTTAGAAGCACTATGAGAAAGTAATAAGAAACCTATGGAACTATCTGGAAGCTTGAAAGGGAAGGTGAATAAGTGGGGTCCTTGGTGATTGGGTAGTAGGTTGTGGCCAGCAGATCAGACAAATGGTTAGGATGGAAAGTGTATTGATATCAAACGGCACATATAAAAACAGTATTGTCAGTCCTAAGTATGTGGTCAACATCACAAGTCAATACCCCAGAAAAAGAATCATGAGACAATAATGTAGGTTCTTTTTACTTGCCTCCTGGTTTCTGAACTCTTAGAAAACATTTAGGTCATAGTGTCAAGCTTCCTCTGTAGTCAGGAATGTTAGAAACCTGTTTGTTTTAAATGAAGTTTAGGTTCTTGCCTAATCACAGGTCTCTATGAGCTGGGGTTTTAAAAAACACACCAAATGTCATGGGACTTGCAATGAAATTGTGAGAGTTGGCAACACGGAGTGACAAAACTCAGTTGGCCCAACTAGTTAGCAGCCCGGAGACTCCTATTGCGTTTGTGGTTTTCACCCACTAAATTGCTGGCTTTACATTTCCAGTCATCACTCACACACACACACACACACACACAAAGATGGGGCAATGTGGGAGGAACACTAGGAGGAGATTCTTGCAGAGATTTTCTTTCCTACAGTCCCCTCCTGTGCATTTTGCCACGGAGGATTTTCTGACCCTGCATAAGGGCACCCAAGATTTGGCCCCATATTTACAAACAAATTTCTCTGTGTTACAGATAACACCTTAGATTACTGAAAATAAAAGTATTTTTGAAATCTGATTTGTTTTCACTACTTATGCTGTTTTTTTAGTATTTGCACCAACAAGGGGACAAGGAAAATAATAATTTTTCTTCACAGTCAATTCATATTTAATTTCCTATTATCTTGCCTTAGCAGAATGTTGCAATATCTGAGTTGGGGAAAAGAAATCACAACTTTCCACTTAAATAAATATTAATAACAACAAAACATTTTCACTGTCCCATGCTTTTGTAAAAGCTTATTTTCAGTCATCCTTAAAAGTGGGACTCAATTTGACCTGAAAATGTCCTTTTAATCTATGTAAAACAACTGTCTAAGAACAATAACAGCTGTGTTACCAGAGGAGTGCAGCAATTCACACTTAGCATCTGCATCACAGTGCAATCTGCTACAAAGCTTAGCCTTTTGTCCAACCCCCAAAATAAAACACTGATGTTTTTACCAAGTGTCTGAGCGTCTTTCCTGATTTTTACCATTTTCAGATATTAGTCCCAAAACCAATAACGCTTCTCTCAGTGCTGACATTTTAGTGCCCAATCTCGAAAGGTGCTGAGCACCCTAGACTCACATTAGCTTTGAGGGTGCACTGCTCATCACCTTGCAAGCTTGAGTGCTTAGGGACTGAGCCTACACCATTGAGGTCACTGGAAGTTTTGCCATTGATTTCAATCAGAGCAAGATCAAGCCCTTGAAGTCTGGCTGGTTTTTAAAAGAACCACACATAAAGTGTAATGAATAACATAACGTGAAATACTATACAATTGCGAATCACATATGTTACACCTCTTAAGACTAAAGTAAAATATCGCCGTTCACTGAAATAAAAAGTTATATTTCTAGCTCCTAAATTTGCTGAATCAGATCAGGAATTTGGCAAGCTACTTGTCTGCTGCAAAGCCAGACTCTGTGGTTTTTCTAATATAATGGTAAAACAAAATATTTCCATCAAAGTAACAATAAAACAAGCTTTTTGACCTACACTAGTTATTTTAATCTTCACAAGAGAAATATTTTATGATCTCTAAGAGACAGGTAGGTATTTAATTGTGATAAATTTCATAAAAATGGGGGAGAAAATTAGCAGACTTCCTAAAATTAATGAAACACGTGTTGACGCCTGCAGGCCAATTACTTCCCCTCGGGGCACATCTAGCGTATGTTTGTTTAACAGACATATTTTGCTCAAATACTGTCTGTTGCTATTCACCATGCTACATTTTTCCTTTGTTTTTTAAAAAAATGAATAAATAAAACCAAAGGATCCTAGTAATGTGTGATAAGAAACACCCCCAAATGAAAGCAAACATGCAAAGCTTTGCAGTGTGTGCAACTTCAAGATTATAAAGTGAGCAGTTTAAAAAACATGGCTTGTTTCTATAATCACATATAGATTTCCTTAAACCCTATTTACTCACTTCCATTTTGTGCAGTGACTCCTACTGGCAAGATGGTGAACAATTTCTGTATGTGGAGGGAAGCAATCTAACAGCTGTTTCTCCTTGCAATGCCTATCAATATTCTGTACAGCATTTATTCACTCATTCCAAAAGTAAAATGACCACATGACTGATATCCTGAAACTTACTATTCAACTCCAACACAAAAAGTATGTGCTCAATCCTGTAGGGTGCTGAATGCTTCCTCAGAGCTTCTCAGCAACTCCACCTGCCATTGATTTCAGTTTGGGTAGTTGAGATACTGCACAGGATACTCAGATGCTTCAGCAGAGCACCACACTCGTTAATCCAGGCCATCATACATCACTTACCTGCACACATTCCTATTAAGGATTTTAAAAAATGTGCACAAGTTGTTTCAAGCCAGCAGCAGTCTTTAAACAAAGAAACTTCCAAAACATACCCCTATGGTATTATACATAAGTACTTGATACCGCAATAGTTACTATGCAACACAGGATTGGGTGTTGGACCCAGTCCTGCAGTCTTTACTTAAGTACAGGTCCCATTAACTTCAGTCATATCTACCTAAACAAAAACTGCAGGGTTGGACCTATCCCTGGACTAATCTCTCTACTGTATAGGACAGGACTTTTCTTTACATATAAAACCTGGACAGAGTAACTGGAAAATACATGTTATTTACTGAAAAGAACTGAAGAGATGTTAATTATCATCAATTGATACTTTTAATGCATTTGACACAAATCAAATATGACAACTTTGGAAAACAAGGTTTTAGCCTTTAAAATATTAGAAAAGAATACGCAGTGATCGGACAGTTATTCTTTGATTTATACCCAGGCTGCATTTTAATACTTTAAGAATTCATCTTAAATATTCATTTAAAAGATGCCATAGAAGACTCAAAGATGTTTATTTATTTCCATGAGTCTATTCTCCTCCAACTGCACCTTGATATTTCCAGTGGCAGTTATATTTTATATTTTTACATGAAAGATGCAATACATAGTGTCTTTTTGACCAATATATTAAAATAGCTGGAATTAATCTGTCTATAGGAAAATGGAGAATAGAATAAATTAATAGTTAATATCCAGCTGCACCAATTCAAGGACAGATTTATGCAATACTAAGTACAGAAGGGAAAAATAGCTACTGTGAAAGGAACAACAAACTTCCAACTGCTTACACTGCAAAAATATTCTGCTTCATCATATTTATTAAAATTATATTTGCAATCCTGTAAGACATAAAATGCCAAATTTTGTTCTGACCTATGCCCCTGAAATCCCACTTGAATAAATGGGATTTTAGAAGTGAAACTGAAGGCCAAATTTCGCCCAACATAATAGCTTACCCAGCCAAACTGTCACATGTCACTTTCTTTGTGCTGCCAGGTGAACAAGGAATGCCATGGCAATTGTTCTCTTATCACGTGAAAATACTGCACTGTTTTACTTTCTCAGAGAGTGAACAAAGAATTAATAATTTAGGAGGTGGCTCTCTCTTTACTTTTTTAAGAGGCTTTGATCTAAGGTTTAAACCATTGTATGACCACAGTAGGGTGACCAGATGTCCGCATTTTATAGGGACAGTCCCGATATTTGGGGCTTTTTTTTTTTATATATGGGCTCCTATTACCCCCTACCCCCGTCCCGATTTTTCACACTTGCTATCGGGTTACACTAGACCACAGCCACCTTATGCAAAGAAGATCCTAGTGACTGACACTGTACTTGGTTGCCTTTCACAAAAATGCAGATTTTTGTTCATCGTAAAACAAAACAAAGGCATATCAGGAATACAAGAAAATGTATAAGTTTGCACCATGAAAAGTAAGCTTTTATCAACCATGTTCAAAACCAACTTCTCTCCCCTGCCTCTTCTTTCTTGGATGGGAGCTCCAAACCATGAGGCTGGGGTCTGCAACTTTTCAGGCTGTTAACTCAATTTTAATTTAGGCCCAATTGCATCGCACTGATTTTTGCCAAATCCCGCTGCAGACAAAGCCTCCAGAAAGTTTCCAAGCGGGTGTAATTTCACCTACTTCGGTGGAGGGACACCAGGGAGGAGTGTGACCCAGCTCCTTTTTTGCTGAACAATCCTCAGCGCTCAAAGGTCTGACTACCCATGCAAAACAACCCCCCTAACACCCATGAATGAAACCGCCAGTCGGTGGGATCAGCCACGCATCCAGCCCACTCCCCACAGCCTTCTTCCACCTGCTTCTGCAGCAGCCACCGTGCCCGCGAGCCCCGCACCAGTCAGTCCCCTCCAGACCCAGCCCGTGCAGGGAGAGGGTGCGTGCCCGGGGCGGTGCAGCGGGGACCCAGCACGGCAGCCCCGTCTCTGCCGGTCCCCCCGCAAGCTGCTACCCGCTCCTTTCCAAGAGTCCTGCGCTTCCCGGCTGAGCTCCGCTGCCCAATTCCCACAGTCCGGAGCTGCGGCTCCCCCATCAGCCCCCCTTTCCTTTGCATACACCCCCCCCCAAAAAACAACCCAACAGCTCGGCGGGGGGCATCTCGGCAGCTGTGCAAACGAGCCCCAGCTGCCCGCGGAGAGCTGCTCCCCCCGGTGAGCGCCGAGCCCGGGCAACGGAGCGCCCCGCTTCGCAGCGGCGGGGGGCGCCCTGGCCGCGGCGGGGGGGCGCCGGGGCTTACCCTGGAGATGGTCAGCGGGGTGCTGAAGTCCTTGCCCCCCACCAGCCGGAAGCCCCAGGGCGAGGGGCCGGTCAGTGCCACTGTCTGGGACATGCTGGG